AGAGTGGGGTGGGAGGAGGTATTGTTTCACGATCTGTGTGTATATAATGTCTTCTGCAGTTTCCACAGCATGCATCCGATGAAGTGAGCTGTAGCTCACGAAAGCTTATGCTCAAATAAATTGGTTAGTCTCTAAGGTGCCACAAGTCCGCCTTTTCTTCCATCACATCTGATGCCCTGCAACGTACTTGTGTAACACACACGCTCAGCAGGGGGTTATGCAGGTCCCTCCTCATCCCTGAGTGACCTGGCACATCCCAAGTTCAAACATCCAATGTGTGCTTTTCAACCTTGATTATTTACTATTTGTGTGGTGCCAGCAGTGTGGTAGGCATTTCTGAGATGTAAGAGATAAGACCATTGCCTTGAGCAGCTTGGACTAGATGGCTTACATACACATTTTAGTTTTAAATCGTACATTTCTTAAATAATAATGCAGAGCTTTTTAAATTAACTTTAAAAACAGTAAAACCAACCCTGTAACCTGAGCTACAGCATGGCAATTTGCATTAGCTGATATCTGAGCTTATGCTAAAATTGTGTTTTGGTATTCCAAGCCTGCGTATTTGGAGCTGATAAAGCAGTTATAAAAACTGGTAGGTGCCCAGTCCATAGAGCTAATTATGCCTGCTGGGACAGAAGGGTAGGTTGGCTGGCTAGAATAGCCTAGTTTTCTTGCAGACACGAGTCTTGAGCAGGGGTCTCAAACTCAATTTACCTTAGGCCCAGTGCCAGTCCTGTGATCCTCCCAGTGGGCCGGTCACGTCACTGAAGATGGTGTTCAGAAAAGAAAACATTTATATTGTATTTTTTATTTTGAATTTCTTAGAAAATAATAACTGTCGCACAACTTTATACAATTCTTCACCTGCCAGAGAGTTTTTAGTATTTGCCAGACACCTGGCAATGCTTCAGTTCTGTCCGTTTGTTGATGTTTGGCCTCAGTGACTGAGCAGTTGAAACCTTCAGGATTGCAGCAAGGTGGGCATCAGATAGTTGGGTTGGGTATTTTGACTTGCTTATATTCATTGTGGGGAAAAAGTGACACTGCCTCCATGGCTGATTCTGCCCGGCAACTAATGATGCTGCCTCCATGGCTGCCTCTGCCCAGTGACTAGTGATGGTATCTTTGTCCCTCTCCCCCAGCCAATGCGGGGGGGGGGGGGAGGTTCTCGGGCCGCAGACGGCCTGTGCGCTGGGACTTTGAGAACCCTGGTCTTGAGTCTAGTCAATCACAGAGGCTGATGAATTTGATGGATGTCTGGTTAAAATATGGAAAGTGAACACTGTGCTTGGTTTTCCTTTAAAATGGGCTATTTTAAAACTTTTTTTTTTATATTCATAAAGTCCAGTGTGTAAAAAGCTGATCTTACCTTTATTATTAAACACAAGGATTAATTTGTACTTACCTCTAGCATTAGGAATGATGTGGGTCTGCAAGCTTCTTACCCTTGATGCTGCCAGAATCCTGGGCCAATGCCTGTAGTTCTTTGGTTTTATTATGCTTGCTTGCCCAAATCCATGCTTCAGCCTCTCCATGCTGTTCCATATCATGCAGTCAGGCATTATCTTTAACATCCCTTTCTTAGTTTACCGTCTCTGTTACACTGTAAGATCAACTCTATCACTCAGTTTGGTACCTCTCTCTTCCCCGCCTCCCTTCCCAGTCCCTCGATTCAGTTTCTTGCTGCTATTCATTCTGCATCTGCTATTGCTAAATGTTTTTTTCTTCAGTTCTCATTCTTCACTTCTCACCCAGTTCATCATTTTAAATGTCCTTTCAAAACGTATTGTCCTTTTCCCCACCTCCTTAATGCTAGTGCTGTACTGCATTGACATTTTTGCTACCAAATGGGAAATACTGTGTTTGTACCATTGCTTGACTTGCTGCTCTGTTTCCACGGTAATCCTCACCCAATACTTTCGTTTTTAAGGTGTTATATAAATAAAGTTTGTTGGCAGTGTTGTGTAGCCATGCTGTTCCCAGGATCTGAGCGAGACAACGGTAGGTGAGGTAATACCTTTTATTGGACCAACTTCTGTACATCAGATGCCTCAGTAACAACTATATGGGTGAAACCAGACAATCGCTATGCTCTTGAATGAACTTGCACAGAAAAATAAGACAGAAACACCATATCACCCGTGGGCAATCACTCCACATCTGATCTCTCAGTTCTCATGTTCAAATGAAACCTGCATAATACCTTCAAAACATGAGCCTGAGAATTTAAATTCATAACTCTGCTGGAAACTAAAAATGTGGACTTCTCAGACACACTGGTTTTATGGCTCATTACAACAATTTGTAACTCACCCTACTGCCTGCTATCCCTTAACTGCCCAGTGAATGTGAACCCCTTATGTTAACAATCAGTCTCACTGTGTATTTAGTTCAGACACTTTGGTTAACTTCCCCATACCTGAGGAAGAGCTCTGTGTAGCTCGAATGCTTGTCCCTTCCACCAGTTGGTCCAGTAAAAGATATTACTTCACTTACCCTAAGTTACATTAGACACAAGGTATATCTACACTATGAAATCAGGTCGAATTTATAGAAGTCGGTTTTGTAGAAAGCGGTTTTGTACAGTTGACTGATTGTGTGTGTCCCCACACAAATGCTCTAAGTGCATGTAGTCAGCAGAGTGAGTACACAGTACCGAGGCAACCGTCGACTTCCGGAGCGTTGTACTGTGGGTGGCTATCCCATAGTTCCCGCAGTCTCCGCCACCCATTTAAATTCTGGGTAGAAATCCCAGTGCCTGATGGGGCTAAAACATTGTCGCGGGTGGTTCTGGGTACATATTGTCAGGCCCCCGTTCCCTTCCTCCCTCCCTCCGTGAAAGCAGGGGCAGACAGTCATTTTGCACCTTTTTTCTTGAGTTATCTGTGCAGACGCCATACCACGGCAAGCATGGAGCCCGCTCAGCTAACCGTCACCGTATGTCTCCTGGGTGCTGACAGACGTGGTACTGCATTGCTACACAGCAGCAGTTAATTGCCTTTTGGCAGCAGACAGTGCAGTATGACTGGTAGCCGTCATCGACGTAGTCCTGGGTGCTCTTTTAATCGGGTGCCTGGGCAAACATGGCAGTGATTCAGCCAGGTCATTTCCCTTGTTTTGTCTCGTGGCGATTCAGTCCTACTGGCAGTGTGCTGTCTTTTAACCTCCAGCCAGCTAGAAGATGATGGCTAGTTGTCATACTGCACTGTCTTCTGCTGAGCACCCAGGAGGAGATAATGGCTAGCGGTCATACTGCACAGTCTGCTGCCAGCAAGATTATAAAGATAGATGAAGTGGCTCAAAACAAGAAATAGACCAGATTTGTTTTGTATTCATTTTCTCCTCCCTCCCTCCTTCCCTCTGTGAAATCAATGTCCTGCTAAACCCACTTTGAGTTCTATCCTTGAGGGGGCCATTCAGTTTCTCACAAAGCCACCACCTTTATTGATTTTAATTCCCTGTAAGCCAACCCTGTAAGTCATGTCGTCAGTCGCCCCTTCCTCCGTCAGGGCAATGGCAGACAATCGTTCCGCACCTTTTTTCTGTGTAGACGCCATACCACGGCAAGCATGGAGCCCGCTCAGATCACTTTGGCAATTAGGAGCACATTAAACACCACACGCATTATCCAGCAGCATATGCAGCACCAGAACCTGGCAAAGCGAAACTGGGCGAGTAAGCGACGTCAGCGCAGTGACGTGAGTGATGAGGACATAGACACAGACTTCTCGCAAAGCACGGCCCCTGGCAATGTGGGCATCATGGTGTTAATGGGGCAGTTTCATGCGGTTGAACGCCGATTCTGGGCTTGGGAAACAAGCACAGACTGGTGGAACTGCATAGTGTTGCAGGTCTGGGACGATTCCCAGTGGCTGCGAAACTTTCGCATGCGTAAGGGCACTTTCATGGAACTTTGTGACTTGCTTTCCCCTGCCCTGAGGCGCAAGAATACCAAGATGAGAGCAGCCCTCACAGTTGAGAAGCGAATGGCGATAGTCCTGTGGAAGCTTGCAACGCCAGACAGCTACTGGTCAGTCAGGAATCAATTTGGAGTGGGCAAATCTACTGTGGGGGCTGCTGTGATGCAGAAGCCAACGCAATCAAAGATCTGCTGATATCAAGGGTAGTGACCCTGGGAAATGTGCAGGTCATAGTGGATGACTTTGCTGCAATGGGATTCCCTAACTATGGTGGGGCCACAGACAGAACCCATATCCCTATCTTGGCACCGGAGCACCAAGCTGCCGAGTACATAAACTGCAAGGGGTACTTTTCAATAGTGCTGCAAGCACTGGTGGATCACAAGGGGCGTTTCACCAACATCAACATGGGATGGCTGGGAAAGGTACATGATGCTCGCATCTTCAGGAACTCTGGTCTGTTTCAAAAAGCTGCAAGAAGGGACTTTATTCCCAGACCAGAAAATAACTGTTGGGGATGTTGAAATGCCTAGATGTATCCTTGGGGACCCAGCCTACCCCTTAATGCCATGGCTCATGAAGCCATACACAGGCAACCTGGACAGTAGTCAGGAGCTGTTCAACTACAGGCTGAGCAAGTGCAGAATGGTGGTAAAATGTGCATTTGGATGTTTAAAAGCACGCTGGCGCAGTTTACTGACTCGGTTAGACCTCAGCGAAACCAGTATTCCCATTGTTGTTACTGCTTGCTGTGCACTCCACAATATCTGTGAGAGTAAGGGGGAGACGTTTATGGTGGGATGGGAGGTTGAGGCAAATCGCCTGGCTGCTGGTTTCGCACAGCCAGACACCAGGGCGGTTTGAGCACAGGAGGGCATGGTGTGCATCAGAGAAGCTTTGAAAACCAGTTTCATGACTGGACAGGCTACGGTGTGAAAGTTCTGTTTGTTTCTCCTTGATGAAACCCCCCGCCCCTTGGTTCACTCTACTTCCCTGTAAGCTAACCACCCTCCCCTCTTCCCTTCGATCACCACTTGCAGAGGCAATAAAGTCATTGTTGCTTCACATTCATGCATTCTTTATTCATTCGTCACACAAATTGGGGGATGACTACCAAGGTAGCCCAGGAGGGGTGGTGGAGGAGAGAAGCACCAGGAAGGGTGGTGGAGGAGGGAAGGATAAGGCCACACAGCACTTTAAAAGTTTAAAACGTTAAAACTTATGGCAGCCTTCTGTTGCTTGGGCAATCCTCTGGGGTGGAGTGGCCGGAGGCCCCCCCACCGCGTTTTTGAGCGTCTGGGTGAGGAGGCTATGGAACTTGGCGAGGAGAGCGGTTGGTTACACAGGGGCTGTAGTGGCGGTCTGTGCTTCTGCTGCCTTTCCTGCAGCTCAACCATATGCTGGAGCATATTGGTTTGATCCTCCAGCAGCCTCAGCATTGAATCCTGCCTCCTCTCATCACGCTGCCGCCACCTTTCAGCTTCAGCCCTCTCTTCAGCCCGCCACCTCTCCTCACAGTCATTTTGTGCTTTCCTGCACTCTGACATTGTCTGCCTCCACGCATTCGTCTGTGCTATGTCAGTGTGGGAGGACAGCATGAGCTCAGAGAACATTTCATCACAAGTGTGGTTTTTTTCACCTTCTAATCTTCACTAGCCTCTGGGAAGAAGAAGATCCTGTGATCATTGAAACACATGCAGCTGGTGAAGAAAAAAAAGAGGCAGTGGTATTTAAAAAGACACATTTTCTAGAACAATGGCTACACTTTCAGTAAACCTTGCTGTTAACATTACATACACAGCACATATGCTTTCGTTCCAAGGTCGCATTTTGCCTCCCCCCCCCCCAATGGCTAAGAGCGGGGAACATTTCTGCTCAGCCACAGGCAAATAGCCCAGCAGGAACGGGCACCTGTGAATGTCTCCTTAAGAAAAGCACCCTATTTCAACCAGGTGACCATGAATGATATCGCTCTCCTGAGGATAACACAGAGAGATAAAGAACAGATGTTGTTTGAATGCCAGCAAACATACACTGCAATGCTTTGTTCTACAATGATTCCCGAGTATGTGCTACTGGCCTGGTGTGGTAAAGTGTCCTACTATGGTGGGTGGAATAAGGCTGCCCTCCCCAGAAACCTTTTGCAAAGGCTTTGGGAGTACATCCAGGAGAGCCGCAAATGCCAGGGCAAATTAATCATTAAACATGCTTGCTTTTAAACCTTGTATAGTATTTTAAAAGGCACACTCACCAGAGGTCCCTTCTCCACCTGGCGGGACCGGGAGGCAGCCTTGGGTGGGTTCGGGGGGCACTGCCTCCAGGTCCAGGGTGAGAAACAGTTCCTGGCTGTCGGGAAAACCGGTTTCTCCGCTTGCTTGCTGTGAGCTATCTACAACTTCATCATCATCATCTTCCTCATCCACAAAACCTGCTTCTGTGTTGCCTCCATCTTCGTTGAAGGAGTCAGATAACACGGCTGGGGTCGTGGTGGCTGAACCCCCTAAAATGGCATGCAGCTCATCATAGAAGCGGCATGTTTGGGGCTCTGACCCAGAGCGGCCGTTTGCCTCTCTGGTTTTCTGGTAGGCTTGCCTCAGCTCCTTACGTTTCACGCGGCATTGCTTTGGGTCCCTGTTATGGCCTCTGTCCTTCATGCCCTGGGAGATTTTGACAAATGTTTTGGCATTTCAAAAACTGGAATGGAGTTCTGATAGCACGGATTCCTCTCCCCATACAGCGATCAGATCCCGTACCTACCATTTGGTCCATGCTGGAGCTCTTTTGCGATTCTGGGACTCCATCATGGTCACCTCTGCTGATGAGCTCTGGCCAGCATGGCAAGCTGCAGGTGACCATGCAAACAGGAAATTGAAATTCAAAAGTTCGCGGGCCTTTTCCTGTCTACCTGGCCAGTGCATCTGAGTTGAGAGTGCTGTCCAGAGCGGTCACAATAGAGCTCTCTGGGATAGCTCCCGGAGGCCAATACTGTCTAATTGCATCCACAGTACCCCAAATTCGACCCGGCAAGGCCGATTTAAGCACTAATCCACTTGTCAGAGGTGGATTAAGGAAATCAATTTTAAGAGCTCTTTAAGTCGTAAAAAGGGCTTCGTGTGGACGGGTGCAGGTTTCCATCGATTTAATGCTGCTAAATTCGACCTAAACTCCTAGTGTAGACCAGAGCTATGTGAATAACGTAGCTGGAGTCACCCGGAAGAGAACTCACGTTGAGTCACTTTAGTCTTCTTGTCTGGGGTAGAGTACAGGGGTCGACTGGACAGCGATCTGCAGTTGATTTGGTGGGTCTTTACTAGGCCCGCTAAATCAACCGCCGGCGGATCGATCTCAGTGCATCCCTGTGGTAGTGTAGACCCGCCCTGAGGCGTAACATAAGATCATACCATAGGTGAGTAGTGTAACAGATAAGAGTGTCTGGGATGGCCTTGCTGAAGGTGACTTAACTGAATTGTTCTGTGAACAGAGACCCTGAATTCAGTCTTGGACCACATTTGTGTGACTGCGGAGGGAATCAACAGTGCAGCAGAGAACAGTGTTGAAACTGACTGTGCTGCTGTTATAGCTGCTAGACCTGCACTTTAAGTGTATTTTAGTGGGATGATCTGGTGCTTTCATTTTTGCTTTCCTGTGTGCACCCTGATTGTGTCTGAATCAGACACTCATGCTGTTCTGTCAAGTGTTGCCAACTCTTTATGATTTTATCCAAATCTATCAATATTGGTGTCTTTATTAAAGTCCCAGCAGGAGTCATGTGATTGCCAGGTGCTCTGTTCTCAGTTACATTTTTTTTTAATTTGTTGTTCACAGGGGAAAACCTTGAAAACATGAATCCTAAAGGCTAACAACCAGAAAGGTTCTGTTTATTTGCCAGCACTTAATATTTTTCAAAATCTCATGGTATTTTAGGGTCCGACTCATGACTTTTGAATGCTTAGGGTTGACAGTACAGCTATAATAACCTGTAGGGAAGCAGAACGACTTAAATTGTGCTCACGTTATCCCTTGCTGCAGTGCAGTAAAGGATTATTTTGCTTGCTCTGTCGTGTAACATGAACCTTTGCTATCGCAAGTCTGACCAGGAATCTGAGTTTGAGCCACAGCGGGTACAGGCTTGATCATGCTCCTGCGCAATTGATATTTTGAGGAGCCTACCCTCTTGGGACTGGGATGAGGGAAGAACACTAAAAAGAGGTGTAATATAAACTTGGTTCTGTTGAACCACCATGCTTAGCTGTCACTTTGGCGGCAAGACCATGGCTAGATTTCACTGTGAATAAATGTGTGGGAACAGGATATTTTTACCTTAACTGCAATACTAGGATCTGTTTCATGCCAGTGCTAATCTTGTTGCATTGAGTCATAATGAAGGGAAAACATATGAAACTAAATAACTTCTTTGGATATCTAACAAATGAGTTTAACAGAACCCTGCTCTCTTGTTACTGTTAGTTTTGTAATCTAATTATGATCAGTATCTCTTGCGCTGCAGGTTAATGATACAGAATTTGAATATCTGTCATGATATTTCTCAGTTTTGCTGTGAGGTCTCTTTATAAAACTTCTCCCAGCAACATCCTTTCCTTTCATGCTCTCTCACAGCCTGACGTGATCTATCCCCCACTTGCATGTACACACATAGGATATATGTACACTACAATTAGACTCCTGCGACTGGCCCAGGCCAGCTGACTTGGGCTTAGGCTGCAAGGCTATTTAATTGTAGTGTAGACATCTGGGCTCTGGTTGGAGCCCTGGCTCTAGGACCCTGTGAGGTGGGAGGGTCCCAGGGCTTGGGCTGCATCCTGAGCTGGAAGCCTATGCAATTAAACAACCCTGCAGCCCGAGTCAGCTTAATTGCAGCGTAGACATACTCATACGTACTGCGGTTGTTCCCCTGCAGTGTTGCTTTGAGACAACCACTGTGCTGCAGCCACACTCATTTTGTGTCGGAAAGTACTGGCACCAAAATGTTTCGGGGACATAATGAAGTCCAATGTTCCTCAAGTAAGAAGGACTTTTCCTTCTTCAGCATATTCTTATCACACAGAGCTTGTTTGTGGTTGCAGCAGGTGTGATAGACCCAGGCCAGTTGGGTACAGCAGAGTAGCCTTATTGGGATCCAGGAAGTGGGCGGGCAAAGCCCGCCCACTGCTAAAGGATCCCCTCCCAGCCTAAGCGGGGGGTCCACAGGACCTGGAAAACCAATTAATTACGGGGGACAAATAATGAACAACAGGGACAGGAGTGCGGTCAAAGGGTTAAACGAAGGGAACCTGACGGGGACACCGAGCAGAGAACCCTGGACAGCGCCCACTGCTCCTCAAAGGCGTCAAGGGAGTCAGTGGACGCCGCCCAGAGGAACTCTGCCCGGAGGCGTGAACGGACAGAGGATCGGAAATAGGCCCCACAGTCGCAGGAGACTCCATCGGCCAACCTCCTCACCCTGGTTTTATAGATGGCCACTTTAGCCAGGGCCAGGAGGAGGTTGACCAGGAGGTCCCGCGACTTAGTGGGGCCACGGACAGGGAGTGCATAGATAAGGAGGTGAGGGGAGAAGTGCAACCAAAATCTTAACAAAATATTCGTGAGGAGCCAGAATAGGGGCTGCAACCTGGCGCACTCCAAGTAGACGTGCGCCAGGGTTTCCCTCACGCCGCAAAAGGGGCACGTGTCCGGGATTGGGGTGAACCGCGCCAAGAACACGCCCGTGCTCACGGACCCGTGAAGGAGCCGCCAACTGATATCCCCGGCGGGCCTCGGGACTAAGGTGGAGTATAGGCTGGCCCACCGGGGGTACAGCAGAGTAGCAGAAGGCAGATATACTGGCCACTGGCTTAACAGTTTTCTGTTCCCTGACTGACCAGAGCAGGGGCTGCTCCAGGCTAATGAGAACACCTGACTCCAATTAACCTGCAAAGAGTCAGGTGAGGCCATTAAGCTAATGTGACCACCTGACTCTAATTAAGGTCCTCTGATACTATAAAAGGGCTCACTCCAGTCAGGCAGAGGACAGCCAGAGGAGAGGAAGTGCGGCTGAAGGGCTGGTTAATGGAGACACCCTCAAGTCATCGGTAAGGGAGCCCTAAGGTAAGGGTGAAGAAGAGAGGAGTGGGAGAGCTGTGGGGAAGTGGCCCAGGGAAATGTAGCAACTCTGGCAGTGAAAGGTCTGCTGCCAACAGCTGCTACCATTAGGGCCCCTGGGCTGGAACCTGGGGTAGAGGGTGGGCCCGGGTTCCCCCAACCTGCCACTGCAGAAACACCTTCTGGGAGGGGAAGACAGGCCCCTGTCAGGACAGGAGGCTAAACTGTTTGGGAATAAGCCCATAGGGACAACAGAGACTGTGGGAGTTCTCTCATCAACCTCCATTGCTGGCTTATGATGAAAAAGGCTCAGTAGACTGTAATCCTGGCCCTAGAGAGAGAAGGGCTACGTGGAGGGTCACAGTGAGCCTCTGAGGCTAGCATAAACTGCCTAGAAGTGTGGGACCCACAGGGACAAGGACGGAGCTCTGCCACACAGGGTAAACAGCAAGTCTCTGGAACAAAGCTTCCTTTTCTTTGGTCGCACTGGCAAATCGGATGTAATGTTTGTAATTCTTTGTGTATACAACAGACCAGGAGATAAACACTAAAGGCTAAACAGCATTGTTCGGAAATGACCGGTAACTCTTGATTGGGGGCGGGGGGAGGAAGGGGAGCATGTGACCCCCACACATCGCCTCTGGGCTGAGGAGCAACAGCAGAGCCAAGAACGCCAAGGCAGTGGCGAACAAGCGCCTCAGGGAGCATCTTATGGCAACTGTGCTCCACATGCAGGGGGAGTCGCTGGCTGGCACCGGGCTACTTTGGGGAAGAGACAAGAGTGTGTTGGGGTGCAGCTTGGAGCTGTGCTGCCTGCCCGCCCTGCCTGCGGAGCACCAGCCATGCAGAGGTGGCCCAGCTCAGGGAGCAGGGCAGGGAAGGCTGCTGGGCAGCCAGCCATTGCTATGGCTCCCACAGCGTGGAGAGCCAAGGGCCAGAGCGGGCTGGGTGGCTCCCACCAGCTTCTGATTTGCCTGCTCCTGGCAGAAGGCAATGGGTGCACCCCACAGTTTGAAAACCTTTGTGCTAATTGGAAGGCAGAAATCTTGGGGGGGCACGGTCATGTGCCCCCCTCACACTCCTTCATGTTGCCTCTAGCATTGTTGGAGGGCTTTGGAAACTAGGCCGTCAAGCTGGCCCTGCTGCATTCCCAGCCTGGTCAACCCTAACCAAGAGGACGGCAGCTCTGTCTTCCTCCCTCTAATTAATTTTGGCCCCTCCTAGTCCCCACCTCACCACTTTACCCAGATATGTTTGGGGTATGATGGAGATACTTTTGTCCAGTCAGGAGGGTGTGATAGGCTGTGCTCTATTTGATCAGTGCCGATTTACACATTAGACCAGTGGTTCTCAACCAGGGTACATGTACCCCTGGGGATACACAGAGGTCTTCTGGAGGTACATGAACTCATCTAGAGATTTGCATAGTTTTACAACAGGCTACATAAAAAGCACTAGTGAAGTCAGTACAAACTAAAATACAGACACTGACTTGTTTATACTGCTCTATAGACTATACACTGAAGTGTAAGTACAATGTTTATATTTATAATTATATGGTAAAATGAGGATGGCAGCAATTTTTCAGTAACCGTGTGCTGTGACGCTTTTGTGTCTGATTTTGTAAATGAGTAGTTTTTAATTGAGGTGAAACTTGGGGGAGGCAGGGAACACAGGACAAATCAGACTCCTGAAAGGGGTTCAGTAGTCTGGAAAGGTTGAGAGTCACTGCATTAGACAATCAAGATAATTAAACTTTGCTCTCCTTTAGCACCTTCCACCCCAGGATCTCAGACACTGGTGAACTCTGCCTCACATCCCCCTTGTGAGGTAGGTAAGGAGCATTACTCCAGTTTCCATGTAGGGAAACTGAGGCATAGAGGCTGAAGTGGCTAGGACACACAGCAGAGTAGGATTAAATGATCAGTTTTCATCTTTGCCACAAGGCACCATGAACTCTTAAGTCCAGTGTTTAATGTATTTTAGTGATCTAAAAAGGGGGGTGATTAGTGAGATAGCGAAATTTGCAGATAGTTATTTAGGTTTGTCAGAACCAGAGGGAACTGTGAGGAACTTGAGAGAATGAGTAACAGGATGGCAAACAATTCACTACCAATAAATGCAAAATAATGCACATTGGAAGGGAAAATTTAAACTACTCATACACCTCACTGGGTTCTAAATCAACTATATCAATTCCAGAAAGGAACCTGGGTGACACTGTAGACAACTAAGTGAAGACCTCTGCTCAATGTGCTGCTGTGATATTTTAAAAAAAAAAAAAAAAGGCTAATAAGATATTAGGCTGCATAGGGAATGGGATGGTGAATAATAAAGAGAATATTTTAATGTCTTCCCATAAATCAGTGATTTAGCCTTATCTGGAATATCTCAAAATAAAATTGCAGAACTAGATGGGATTCAAAGAAGAGTGAGAATGATCAAGGGCCTGGAAAAACTGTCCTATGAAGAGAGTGGAAAAATTTGTATTCCTGACCTTAGAAAGGAGACTAATAAGAAAGAACATGATAAAACTATATAAAATGTGTGGTCTAGAGAAGGTAGATTGGGAACTTCTTTTCTCCCTGTCTCATAACAATAGAACAAAAGGATATTCAGTGTTGTTAACGGGGGGGAAACTCAACACCAATAAAAGGAAATACTTTTTCTCACATATAATTGAACTGTGGAACTCCCTGCCACAGGGAAAAGTTGAAGCCAGGAACTTAACAAGATTCAAAAAGGGACTAGATATTTATATGGATGTAAAGAATGTTCAGAGTTGCTATAATTAATGATTTTGTGGAAGGGATATAAAATCTCATGCTTCAGGTCTTGAGTCAATCTCTAACTCGGAGATCACGATGATGTGGGGGGCAAATTACCTCATGTCTGCTTCCTGAAGGGTTCTTAAACCTTCCGTTGAAGCATCTGATGCTGGCCAGTGTTGGAGATACGAAACTGAAGTAGTTGGACTGTGGGTCTGATCCAGCCTGGCAATTCCAATGTTCTAAGGTTACACAGAAAACTAATCTCTGGGCTGTGAATAGAACCCAGCAGCCCTGACTCAGTTTGCTCCTCTAGCCATTGGACCAAGTATTTTCCCCTTCTGATTTATTTTTTTATCAGAATGTTAAGACCTGTCTGACTTGAGCTTGAAATGGGATAGACATTTTGTTCTGCAAACTGGTAAACGTGCCAGTAAACTATGTGGACGGGTTTTTAAGTCCTGATTAACACAAGGGCAAAGTTGCTGAGAATTTCAGTTGTTACACTTCCAGCAATGTAGGATGCATTCTTCCACCAAACGGGTATATACAAATGAGCAACCAGATAGTGAATTTTTAAATACAATTTTAGTGACACTTCTCCCTTCTCAACACTCTTTGCTTTTTGATGATGTCCGGATATTAAAGCACAGGTACTCTTTGCCTGTTTGGTCTGGAAAAGGCCAACGTTCTTGCAAAGCATTCTCCCTTGCCTTTATATTTCTGTCCCTACCCACAACTTTAAGTCCCTTTTTGTTCCTTTCCTGTGTACATTAGCAGTCATTCTCTGTTGGCAGCATTGGATATTATAATACGAGGTAAATAATATCACCTTTCTCAGGTGATGAGATGACCTAAACTGGCAAAA